TCCCACGCCAAGTGGTCTGAAGTCATCAGGGCCAGCACTGCTCCCGCTGCAGCGCGGCTGTCGATGGCGGGAGAAGCACCCTTCAGCCGGTCACTTAATCAGAGGCTCAGTCAGAAGGGTCTGGGGCACGCCTTCTCCCCAGAGGCCCCTCGTTAGCCTCTGCAGGTGGTGAGCTGCTGCCTGCCCAGAGCCAAGCAGACTCCAGCGGGTAGGGCCAAGCAGAACTGCCCACGGCGAGAAAATGGACGTGAGACAGGCAGGCCGCAGGCCTGAGCTGGGCCCAGCTTTGTCCCCGTCGGCTGGGTAGCCTCAAACATTCTAAGCCTCAGTGTCTGCATCAGGGAAGTGGGGATAAAAACAGTGGGGAGGCTGAGTGAGCCACACGGACGCAGGGTCTGACACCCACTCATCCATTCTCACTTGGCAGGTGCTGGAGAGCTGGGCCTGACTCACAGCGAGGTGCAGACCATCTGTCATTCTTTCTCCTGGTGGCGATTCTGCAATGGGGGACCTCGTCGTGCTGTGAAAACCCCAGAGGTACAGGAGAACACTTCTCAGAAAACAAGGGGAATGAATGGTCATTTATGGGCCGCTGGCCACTCATGTCCACACATCATGACCCCATCCAAAGACGAGGGCACACCCGGAGCAGCAGGGACCATCTGAGTGAGGGAAAGGCTGGAGGGTGGGCTGTGGGGGTCTCTGTGCCCAATCCAGGTTCCAAACACAGGAGCACCCTTACCAGAGGGAAGCTGTCCCCCAGCCTGAGCGAGGCTGGGAGGAGAGCTAAGGCTCAAGGCCTCCTCAGAGTCTGTCCCAGAGACCCACTGGTGGGACCAAGAGCCACACTGGGAAGGCACCCAGGGGACCACGGCTGTTTGCAGAACTCTCTGGACAACTCAGCAGGAGCACGGGCCACACAGGTGGAGGCTGAGCAGAGAAGGCGTGCGCTTGCCTGAGGACCTGCAGGTACCTCTGCCTTTTTTGTCACAGCTCTTCCGGCCTGGCACAGACACGGAGGTGGCAGTGAGGGGAAAGCCCCTGTCTGCCCAGCTACAGGAGGTGGGAGAGCCCACACAGCACCCGCCCATGCTCCTGCGGCTTCCAGCACACGGGAGCTGGGGCCGGGGCACTGTAGAGATGGCCTGGCTGGGCTGGGTGCACCTTGGGAGAGCTGACCCAGGCAGCTGCTCAGCCGGGGTGTGCTCTCCAGAAAGGGGGGTCCCCTGGGCCCTCAGCAAGTGCTCAGCACGGGGGCCCTGCACCCCTTGCAGCAGGCAGCCTGACCAGTGAGGCTGGAGGCTGCTGGGGGCCGCGGGGGGCAGAGGTGGGCAAGAAACACGAACACGCTCTATGGGGGATTTTGAGGAGACTGGCTGATGTGGTGTGCAGAGCAGGTGACTCACAAAGCAGACGACACTTGGGGCCCTGGTGGCGTCAGCCCGCACTCCCGAGGCCGGCTCAGCCTCACGCACCAGAGACGTTTTGTTAGGAAGATTACAGACTGAAACAGGAGCACCAGAATAATTAATCTGTGAGCAGATTTTATTTAAGTGTTGATTCATGGTTGTTCTATAAGCCAACAGCCTGTCAGAACTATAAATTAACGAGACGAAATGCTGCTGGCCCTCCGTATTTCAGGCTGGGTATTGACATTTCAGAATCCACAGATTTTTAACTGTATTGATTGAGGACACCAGGATAAATGGCCTTGGCGCCAAATCCCCATTAACGACAATGGGCACCGAGTGACTAATTCCCAGTGCGCTGCGGTGAGAATGCCCCGCGTGGCCTTCCCCTGGCAGGGAGTTCTAATTAGATTGAAATGAAAAAGCCAAATCACCAAGGGCGGAAAAAGGCAGATCAAGTGAAAATGGAGATGAGACTCGGGGAAGAGAAGGGACGAGACACGTCAGAGCAGGGTGCAGACCACAGGGCTGCAAGGCCCACCCAAGCCCTAAAGGGAGCGCCCGGCAGTGGGGCATGCAGAGATGGGGGGGATTGGTGGTGGGACACAGGGGAGCCCTCCTCACCCCAGGAGCCCCTGTTGGGGTGAGAGGACCCAGCAAGGGCCAGCCTCAGCTGTCTCGTCCGTACACACCCAAGCCAGATTGTGGCCAGTTCACGGGCGGCATGGAGACCAGCAGGCCTTGTCCTCTAGGAATAGCCACACCAGCTAAGGACACAGACGCAGCAACCAACAACCGCCCGCAGCAGGAGAGGCCATCTGGGGCTCCCCCAAGGCTGGGGTCCAAACCCCTCAACCATGCCCTCTTTGGGGACACAGCACGTCCCAACACACTCTCCACTGCAGCCCCAGCGCTAGGCCCTGCATACAGGAGGGGAAGCAACTGCAGAGCGAACGAAATGGGCTCTCAACAGCCGAGCCAGTGGGGTGCCGCTCCCGGCAGAGCAGCGCAGTGGAGGCCTCCCCAGCGCAGAGCACAGAGACGTGCCTTGCTCTCTGTACCCTCCAACACACACCAGGAGCTCTGGGCCCAGAGCCCGACATGTGGTCCTCCAGCCACAGTTTCAGAACAGCACATGCCAGTTTCCTCCACTCTCATGTCCCCAGCCACAGCTCCCAGAGGACTGGCCCAGAGACCCACGAGCCTCTCCTGCTCCAGAACTCTGCCTGCCGTGGGTCGTGCCAGTCCCTCACCCAGCAGGCAGGAGGAATCTCTTTGAAAGTCTAAAAACGGCAGAAGCCCCCTCCCAACACACACACACACACACACACACACACGCACACACAGGCAAACACACACAGAGGCACAGGCGTGTATAATATGATGACTGAGAAAGCAGAACATGACAAAAGCTCACTGGGAAGGCATCACTGTTACCCAGAGAACTCGATGTGAGTCCCCTGACGGCATCACCTGTCACTCTGGGGGCCCACGGGTGGGGGGAGCCCACCTGCCCCACTTCCCACACCCTTGTGGCACCTACCACACGGCATCCCGTTCCTCTGACAACTCTGCCTTTGCTGTCCCATCAGCTGAGGACCCTCCCGCCCTGACTCGTCCTCCTCCCTTCCTTCAGGATGGAAGGCTTTCTGGATTTTCCAGGCCCCATGTTCGTGCAGCTCCTGGGTCTTGCTCATTGTCTTGGACATGGGCACTCCAGGGCGGGCACTGGTCTGGCTCCACTCGGTGTCTCCTGAACTGAGCGTGGCTTCTGAGCCACACGAGGCGGCAAGCTTGGCCGCTGGGCAGACCTGGCCCTGCCAGTCGGGTCCACGGCACTGGTGAGTGAGCGCGCGAACCTGGGAGGCTGGGCGGGCCTGAAGGAAGGAGGCAGAGGGAGGTCCTCCACACAGCGAGCACCTGGTGGTCAGTGCTGCTGCTGCCATCATCAGCCCAAACATCCCATCATCAACGGCACCAAACTCTCTGGGTCCTGGCAGCCTCTCGGAGGCGGGGGAGGCACTTCATGAGACGATGTCGCTGCCACTCAGCACTGCGGACAGAGCCCAGGGTCTGCAGTGGCACAGACAGCTCCTGGTCCCCATGGGCTGCACCCTGGGAGGCCTCGCACAGGTGACATCAGCACTGAGCCTCGGGCTCCTCACCCAGGAGGTGGGCAGAATCGCTGCCAGCAGCTACAGTGGAGATGAGACAGGCTGAGTGCAGGCTCCCCAGACCTGGCGGGGAGGGCCTGGGACCACCAAACTTATCCCGTCTCTTCTGAAGGCGCATGAGGCTGCCCTCCTGGCCCAGAAGCCAGGAGGGCCCTGGTGGTGGAAACAAAGCCCCAGTTACCCCAAAACACTCCCCTGTGCTTCCACTCTGCACCCCTGCGGCTGCTGGGGATGAGCTGCAGGGGGAGGGCCCCAGAATGACCATCTTGTTCTCACCACCACCACTGCTGGCCCAGGTGACAAGAGATGGGCCCGGCGTCTTGAGGGAAGCCCTTGGAGAATGCCCAGCGGAATGGTGGCCAAGGAGCTGCCCTGAGAGGGGCAGGCCATGTGGACTGGGACCAGGAGGTGGAGGCTGAATCCCAGCTCCACCACTCGCTGGCCTGTCCTCTCCTGTAACCTGGACAACACAGACCGGGGGCAGCAGTGAGAGCGGGTACCGGCAGCGCCTGTTGCACAGGGGCTCCAGGGAGGGAAAACTGCTCCCGCTGACCTCTCCCTCCATCTCACCCTGCCTGTCAAGAACCCCTCACATGCAGCGTGAGTGCACCTCGCCCAAGCGCATTTTCAGTGCAGACTCTGAAACAGGACTCATCCGAAGACCTTCCTTGAGGGCTGCGATCACTCCTCACCGCCTTGCAGCCATAATGAGTTGACAGGAATCCTAAACTGATTCCAACCAAAGGACACTGTGATAAAGTTAAATCTATTTCAGTACAAATTGCACGTCAGAAGTTGATTAAAAAGCCACCTCTTGGCTGGCGCCGCGGCTCACTAGGCTAATCCTCCGCCTGTGGTGCCGGCACCCCGGGTTCTAGTCCTGGTCGGGGCTCCGGATTCTGTCCCGGTTGCTCCTCTTCCAGTCCAGCTCTCTGCTGTGGCCCAGGAGTGCAGTGGAGGATGGCCCAAGTGCTTGGGCCCTGCACCTGCATGGGAGACCAGGAGGAAGCACCCGGCTCCTGGCTTCAGATTGGTGCAGCACACCACCCGTAGCGGGCATTTTGGGGGTGAACCAACGGAAGGAAGACCTTTCTCTCTGTCTCTCTCTCTCACTGTCTAACTCTGCCTGTCAAAAAAAAAAAAAAAAAAAGCTACCTCTTCATCCAGCCCTCCAGCTTGGAGCTGAGACAACCTTGGGGCTCTGTCCTATGGGCTGGCTGGCACAGGCCTGCCTCAAACCCTCCGTGGGGAGCCCTGCTTCCAACCGGCAGATGGTCTGGAGACACAGCTTGGAAAGCATGAGCTGTCTTGGGGCCCCTCACGCTCTGCTCTGAATCCTCCCATGGCTTATGGCCACAGACCCACCAACAGCCTTTCCCAGAGAGTTGCCACAAAGAGCAATGACAGAAAAACACACCTGTTTCGAGGTCTGTTAGGTGCAGGGCAAAGTCAAAGCCACCACTGAGGATGCGCCGGCCACAGGGAGACCACCGGGCGGCCCGCACCGCCTCACTGTGCAGGGAGTAGGTCTGCAAGCAGCGCCCCGAGTCCACGGCGTTCCACACCTGCAGGGAGAACACAGACAGCACCCGACATGGCAGCAGGGCCTCACCTGCAGGGCTTGGCTCGGCCACTCTGCAAGGGAGAAAAGTCTCACGGTGGAACCAGGTTTCCTTTATTTTACCATCAAAACGCTGCGCAGATGTTAAACCTCCCCTTGCAGAACTGTGAAGGCTCAGGGCTAGGAGCCAAGGGGATCTTTTGCCGCAGTTTTTTCCAAGGTTAAGATAATGGCATGTCCAGTGTCTGACACTCACCCACCCACCCAGTCCTTCAAGACTGCTTCAGACTGCTGGCCACCTGAGAATCCTGTCCCTGGCTCACCTGTCCTACAAGGGGCGCTGCACAGGGCCAGCCCACACTCCTGGGTTCTGCTCTGAGACTGAGCTGCAGAAAGGTACCAACCACACCTGTATTTACAATCAGCCATGTAGGTGCCGTCCTTCTGGGGAAAGAAGGTACCTCATTCCTACCCCAGTTACCCACAGCAAAATGAGGCTCATGGGAGAACGCACCCTGCATGACCTCTGGAAAATGGCTGACAACCCCAAACGCAGAGCGGCACACCCCAAGAGCCAGGGCCCCAGGTGCTAGAGGCGAGGCCTAGCGTCTCAACAGCAAGCCCAGCAGCTCCAAGCTCCACGCAGCCAGAGGAAGAGGCTGGAGAGCTCTGAGCCCACAGCAGGCCAGGACCGGCACCTGCAAGTGCCCTGCAGTGCTGGTCCCCATACTCAAGGTCCTGACAGGGTGGAGAGGGTGCTGTCCCTACCAGCACGTGGCGGTAGGAGCCAGTCACGTGGAGTGGAGGTGAGAAGGGCATGGCTCCAGGGCAGAAAGGAGGGCTGAGGCGGTAACGTGTGAACAATACACGGCCGCAGCCCTGCTGCTGCAGGACACACGGCGGGGGCTCGCGGCGGACGCAGCTCTGAACAGCAGATCCCATGACCTCCTGTCAACAACATCAGGAAGAACAGGCGTCCTTTTCTTTAATCAGAGAAAAACCCGGAGCACAGCGCGCACGTCCACAAACCTGATCCGAGGGCAGCCTTCCCATTAAAGGTGAGAAAACCCAACCTGTCAAGTCCTGGAAGCGCTCAGCACGCAAAGGATTGGAGTTCTGAGAGCACAGCTCCTGGGAGTCTGCAAAACCTGAGCTCAAGAAAACAACAGACCAAGAGAAGCCTCCAACGAGTGTTCAGACAGCACAGCTCCTTTCTTCCTCAACAGGGGTCACAGGGTCTCAAGCTGGAAAGTCAAGAGACCGTGGCATTAACATTCAGAGATGCACACACGAGTACAGAGGAAACAGCCTGAGGAGTCTGCGCTGGAGTAAGAATCTGTGGAGAGCAGCCAGAATCCAAACCATGTACAAGGATTTTCAAAACTATGTGCTGGTATGACTGCAATAGAAAAAAACGAGGTGCAATGACAGAACTAGATCAACAGTGAACATGCAAGATGGTAAAAGACATCGAGGACCTAAGACACGCTGCGTACACAAAGCTCGATGCCATTTACTTTTTTTTTTTTTAACGATTTCTTTTATCTGAAAGGCAGAAAGAGAGGGATCGTCCATCCACTGCTTTACTCTCCGAATGGCTGCAACAGCCAGGCTAGGCCAGGCCACAGCCAGGAGTGAGCCACCCCTCTCAGGTCTGCCACGTGAGACGGCAGGGTCCCAGGCACTTGAGCATCACCTGCTGCCTCCCAAGTGCACTAGCAGGAAGCTGGATCAGAAACACGGAGTAGCCACCACTCCAACTGGCGCTCTGGCAGGCTATGTGGGTGTTACAAATGCAGGCTTAATCCACGGTGCCACAATGCTCACCCCACCATAAAACACCACCGCACACCTGTTAGGATGGCCACTACCAAAAAGACAGAAAACAACAAGTGTTGGCAAGGATACGGAGAAATCGGAACCCTTCTAACTGCTGGTGGGACAGTGCAATAGTACAGCCACTATGGAAAATAGCAAGATACTTCCTGAAAAGTTAAACACAGAAATCACAACGTGATCTAGCAATTCCACTCCGGGATATAAGCCCCAGAATTTGAAGCCAGGTTTATAGCAGCATCATTCACAATGCTCAAGAGGAGGAAGCCACCCCAGTATCTGCTGACAGATGAGCGGATGAACAGAGCAGTCTGGCCACACAGCAGAAATGCAGTCAGCCTGGAAAGGAACACAATCCCAACCCAGGCTACCACACAGATGAACCCTGGGGACACGCTGCTGATGCAGTAAGCCAGACACAAACGGACAAACCCGGTGTGACGCACTGATACCACGTCCCCGGTACAGTGAACTTCAGGGACAGAAAGGAGAATGGTGGCTGCCAGGGGCTGGGAGGACGGAGTGGGGTGAAGAGCTGGGGTTTAACTGGGATGCGGTTTCCACTTTGTGAAATGACAAGTCATGGAGGCAGCTGACGGGGGTGGTTGCGCAGCACGGTGAACACACATGGCCACTGACCTGCACACTTACAGTGGCCAGGATGGTAAACCTGCTGTGATACAGATTTCACTAAATTTTTTTTTTTTTTTTTTTGACAGGCAGAGTGGACAGTGAGAGAGAGAGAGAGAAAGAAAGGTCTTCCTTCCGCTGGTTCACCCCCCATTGGCCGCTGCGGCTGGCGCACTGTGCTGATCCAAAGCCAGGAGCCAGGTGCTTCTCCTGGTCTCCCATGCGGGTGCAGGGCCCAAGCACTTGGGCCATCCTCCACTGCCTTCCCGAGCCACAGCAGAGAGCTGGACTGGAAGAGGAGCAACCAGGACAGAATCCAGCGCCCTGACTGGGACTAGAACCCGGGGTGCTGGCGCCGCAGGTGGAGGATTAGCCTAGTGAGCTGCGGCGCCAGCCTCACTAAAATTTTTAAAAAACATACACAGTGCCAGCGATGTGGTGCAGCAGGTTAAGCCGCCACCTGCGGTGCTGCCATCGCATATGGGCGCTGGTTCAAGTCCCAGCCGGCTTGCTTCTGATCCAGCTCTCTGCTATGGCCTGGGGAAGCAGCAGAGCATGGTCCGAGTGCTTGGGCCCTGCACCCGTGCGGGAGACCCGGGACACTGCAGCCACGCTGGCTCTCCTGACTGAAGCCCAGACTGGGACAGCCTCAGATTCAGCATGGCACAGCCAGCCATCTCTCAAAGCCAGAAGAATCTTTGCCAGTCGCTCTCCCTAATTGAATTTAATGTTCACTGTCAGGCTTTAAAGATTAATTCCCAAACATTGAGGCAGCCTGAAGTGTCTGTCTTTTTTCAATTAAGTAATTAGAGATCTCAAACTGCCTTCACAGAATTCAGGAGTTAAGTCTTCTGTCAAATGTTCCAAGATGACCCGATAGATTTGCTAAAGACATTCCATGTGTCCAACCAAAGGAACAGACTTGAAAAGAACATGACAGGCACAGCGTGGTGCAGTCAGCCGCCCGGCCCCGTGCCTGGGATCCCACGTGCTGGTTTCTGAGATGTGGCCCCCTCGGGGGTTCCTGTGTTCTCCCAAGACTGGGAAGAGGATCTATTGCTTTAGCCACAGGTAATGTTCTTCCCGCCTGCCAGCCTGCTGCCTTTTTGGTTTTTATTGTAAGAGAAATACAGTCTCCCTGGGAAATATTCAAACTACACAGCAGTGCAAAAAGAAAATCCCACAGGAATCAACCATGGGGTTGTTGTTCCCCCGATTACGCTGGAAATAAGTGTGCTCTGCAAACGACATTTGTCAAAAACAAGAAACCACAAAGGAGAAAATGCGGCCCATCCGTAACTCTACCACCGGGAGATTACGGGTATCAGACTCTGGGCCGACCTCCGCTCCCCTGTGGTCTCACCTCACAGTCCTCCTCGCTCAGACCAGCCTCCTGGCCATCTGTTTTCCAGAGACCACGCGCACAAAGCCAACACAAGCTGGGCAGCTCGTGCCCAGCCCTCCAGTCAGTCGCCCACCAGCACTTTGGGAACCCCTCAGGGGTGGGTGGTCAGGGCCCGGGATGGAACCTTGGACCAATGCAGGAGACGCCATCGCAGTACTGAGTGCCCGTTTGTGAACAGGAACTATCTCTGTGCTTGTTTAGGTTATCTTTAGTTACTCTAAGCAACAGTTTGCAGCTTTTAATTTTTATTTCTTTACTTGAAAGGCAGAGACAAAAACAGATCTCCCTTCTGCTGGTGTACTTCCCAGAGGCCTGCAACAGCAAGGACCAGGCCAGGCTGGAGCCAGCTCCACTGAAGTCTCCCGCACGCGTGGCAGGGACGCAAGCATTGAGTCACTGCCTGCTGCCTCTCAGGGTACGTCCGCAGCACCAGGAAGCTGGAATCAGGGGCAGAGCCAGGACTCGAACCCGGGCACTGACAACCACTATACCAAATGCTCACCCTGTGATTTTCAAATGAAAAGATCCTGCACATCTTTTGTAAAATCTATACCAGCTATTCCCGATTCTGAATACACTGTAAATGGAATTTAAAATTTTAATTTCAGATTATTTGTTTCTTACAGAAATACAATTAATTTTTGTATACTGACCTTCATGTTTTGAGGATATTCTAAGTGGAACTTTAAGTTTTGAGTTCAGACTGTTTGTCTCTAACGTGTAGAATACAATCAACTCTTGCATGTTGCAGACTGTTCCACCTGCTCGGGGAACTGCTTCGACAGATGAGCAGTCATTGGCAGATAAAGACACCTCACGTCTTCCTTTCCAAGAGGGATGCCTTTTACACTCCTGCTTCATTGCACGGGCCACAGTCTCCAGTCCACAGCGGTACAGGTGGGGAGTGCGGACACCTGGCCTTAATGAGGACCTCTTGCATTTTGCAGGAAGTCTTTTTTTTTAATTCAGGAATGAATGTTGACTACTATTAAATCATCCACTGAGAGAGTCACATGGTTTTTCTTTTACAGGTAAGCATTGAGTGAATTATATTGACTTGCAAATGCTAAGCAAGCTAGAATTCCTGAGATAAAGCCTACTTGGTCTTGACACTATAAATACATATCATTGGA